AAAAAAAAAAAGACTGTACCCTTTTATGTAATGATGTTTACTTTGAATTTATATTAGTTCACACAAACACTCCATCCATGCTTTTGTTCCGGCCCTCCGGTCCAGTTTAAGAACCCATTGTGGCCCTCGAGTCAAAAAGTTTGCCCACCCCTGATCTAAGAGGTTAAGCTATTTGCCTGAGGCCCTAGAGTGCTTTGGGAGGGGCTGAACCCTGCCTGTGTTCTCTCTTCCCATTGGCTGACAAAGACACCTCCAGGGGACTTCCATGGGAAGCATGGTGTGTGTGTGTGTGTGTGTGTGTGTGTGTGTGTGTGAGAGAGAGAGAGAGAGAGAGAGAGAGAGAGAGAGAGAGAGAGATTTCACACGAAACCAAAGAATGGCTGTTTTAATATGTATGGGAAGTATGTTTTCTCCCCAAGACTGGAGAACCTGGGAAAACTCCAGCTTCAGGGAGATCCCCAGCGCGCAGCCGCTACCTCAGGCAGACATGACTAACGGCTGGGGAAGTCAGGGAAGCCTTCTTAGAAAAGGAGCTTTTGGGTTGGGCTTTGAAGGGTGAGTAAGAGTTTTCCCTGGCGGAACTGAGGAAGAAGGCTATTCAAGGTCGAATGACAGCGCGGTGGACTCTTTGTGGGGAAGCGAACAGAACGGCTGGGCAGTTTGGAGAGCCCTGTCCTGGGCCCGGGGGGTGCGGGCGGAGGCACAGGCAGGGCACGGGAGAAGCCCGCGGACATGCTAAGGGGAAGGCAGGGCGAGGTTGGGTTTGGAAGCACCTCACTCTGGAGACGGCGGGAGGGCTGATGAGGAGGCCGTGAGCATGGTCCAGCCAGGCGAGCGAGAGGTGATGAGGCTGGATCTGGGCAAGACAGCAGGGGAGCGGCCGGAGGGCAGCCGGGAGGGACCAGGGCATGGACGTGAGATCCACAGGCCAGGAATGAAGGTGGGCTTGTCTCCAAGACGGGAGAAGGTGAGGTGTGTGTGGGGCAGTGAAGAGTCCAGGTCTGGATACTAGAAGTCTGGGTGGCCACGGACCAGGCCATTCACTTCCCCAGCCAGCGGGCAGCGGGCAGCGGGCAGCAGTTCACAAGTGCTAGGGCGAGGGCACGAGCTCTCTGGCCTGGAATTAAGCCCCGTAGGCCCGCTTCCTCCCTGGGTGACTATGGACAAACTACGTTTTCTTCCGGGTTTCAGGCTTGCATCTTGGAAATGGAACAGACCTAGAGGCGCCTGCCCAGCTCACCTCCCTCGCCTGTAACTCTCCCGTGAAGGCACGGACCACTGAGGGATGGGAGCCCGCGCCTGGGTCCAGGCAAGCGTAGTAGATGGTGTAGACCAGGGGTGGGCAAACTTTTTGACTCAAGGGCCACAATGGGTTCTTAAACTGGACCGGAGGGCCGGAACAAAAGCATGGATGGAGTGTTTGTGTGAACTAATATAAATTCAAAGTAAACATCATTACATAAAAGGGTACGGTCTTTTTTTTTTTTTAGTTTTATTCATTTCAAACGGGCCGTATCCGGGCCCGTGGGCCGTAGTTTGCCCACGGCTGGTGTAGTCTCTACTGGAGCTGGAAAAGAAGTTGCTAGAAGGTTGGGCTGGCCTCTCCTCCACCCCAGCCCACACAGACAACAAACCAAAGTGTCTATTCGCCAGGACTAGAACCCAAGGCCATGATGGCAAATAATGCCTGAGGGTGGGGGGCTGGGCATGGAGGCAGCAGCAGGGCTGATGGGGGAGGGGCCGCTTAGAGGCCCAGGGAGTTCCAGCCCAGCCTCAGGGGACATCAGTACCTTTCCAGTCCACCTCTCCAATGGGATTAAAACAGGACAAGGGAGCCCTAGCCGGTGTTGCTCAGTGGATAGAGCGTCGGCCTGTGGACTGAAGGGTCCCAGGTTCGATTCCGGTCAAGGGCACATGCCCAAGTTGCAGGTTGGATCCCCAGTAGGGGTCGTGCAGGAGGCAGTCAATCAATGATTCTCTCTCATCATTGATGTCTCTATCTCTCCCTCTCTCTTCCTCTCTGAAATCAATAAAAATATATTTTAAAAAACACGCCCACAAATGGACAAGGGCTAGTTACAATGAAGCTGCAGCAGCTGCCAGACTGAACCTCATGGGGCTCAGTGCCTATCTCCCGAGCACCCCCTCGGAGATGCCCCTGGGCCCCGCGTCCCCGCGTCCCCGCACCCCCTCGGAGAGAGGTGCTGTCACACTCCCTGTTTCACAGCCAAGGAATCGTCGGAGTTTGTGAAACTGAGGGGAAAGGCCCAGAACCAAGGGCATGGCGCCCAGGCCAGGCTGGAGGGAGGTGGGGGTGAAACCAGGGCGTGGGGGTGTGTGAGGAGGACCCAACCTCCAGGGCCTCCTCCATCTCGTCTGGGACACACAGGAGCCCCAGCCTGGGACCCCGCCCCGGCAGTGGGGGTGGTGAGAGGCGACTGATTTCTGGCACAGCTCGGCCTGCTCTCCTGAAACTGGCCCAACAGGTTGGTGTGAAAGGGCTGCCAGGCCCGCGCTGGCTTCACGTCTCCGTCTCAGCCTCCGTCTCCGTCTCGGGGAGCTCCCAGAATCCTCCGCCTTCTTTCCGGCTAATGTCAGGCCCCCTGCCCCTCCGCGTCACTGTGGGCCGCCGTGCAGGTGGGAGGGTTCCCCTGCGTGGAGCCAGCCGGCCACGCCCCAGCCCCGCTCACACCTGAGCTGGCCCCGGCCCAGCAAGATCTGCTCAGTTGGCAGCTGCAAGGCCAGGCCCAAGGGCTGGGGCCGGGGCCGGGGCCAGGTGACTCAGGGGACGTTAGGACACTCAGTACTCAGGGTGAAACGTCCGGGTAAGACCTCGCACTGACTGGCCTAGTGGCATCTCTGTCCCCAAAGGCGGTCCAGAGGAGGGTGGTGAGTCCAGGGAGGCACAGCATAAGGACCCATCTCCAGTCCCACCTCCCAGGGCCGGGCAGAATCCTCCAGCCCTAGCCCTGCTCCCTCCTCCAGGGAGCCCTCCAGGATCGCCCCACCCCTTGCCATGCCCTCAGAACCTGTGGGTGCCAAGGCTTTGGCTGGCTAGCCCCTGGGGGGCAGGGCAGAGCTCTCGACTCGGAGTTCGCACCCGGTTTCTGCCCCTCACAGGCTGTGTGGCCACCGCTCTCGGAGCCTTCCCGCTTCCGCTGTGAGTGACACAACCTCTGCTGGTGGGCAAGGCTGCACCGAGGACTCAGCGGAGCCCCCACCAGGAGCTCCATGCCACCCCTCGCCCCCTCCCATTCCGCCACCCGCCTGCCAGAGCCCACACTCCTCAGCTTCCAGGGCGTCCTGTCCCCAGGCCTCCCGGGGGCCACCCCACCCGCTGACAGGCCCAGCCCTGAAGAGGATTGCCCGGCAGCTCCTGCCCCCGCCCCCGGATATCCTTGCCCTGATTGTCAGCGCTGCCAGCTCCTGCTCTTTGCACAGGTGTCCACACTCCGTGCCACCTGCTGCAGAGCTTCCCCGAGCCTCTCACCTGCAGCCGTGTCCCCCCAAAGCCACTCTGCCCTGTGCTCTGCTGGCTCTGTTTACCCTCAGAACTGGTCCCGAGTGCGCATTTGTTCCCTCGTTTATTGTCTCTCGCCCATAAGCCCCCAAGGGTAGACACCCTTGTTCCCTGCCATGTCCTCGGGCCCAGGTGGCGTCTGGCTCAGGTGGTACGCAGGGAGCATGTGCGCTGGCAAAGGACGTAATTGGTAAAGAGTTGCCATCAGGTACTGTTTGTATGTTGTGCCGGGCCCGGGGCATCCGCCAGCAGCCCCTCTCTTTGTCCCTGGCGGGCGCTGGCAGGCCATGCCCTCTGCCTCCAGGCCGCCCGGGCTGGTGGCACTGACCGCAGGATTTGGGGCGTCTGTTAGGCTGAGTCTCTGTCTTGGGTCTGAGACCGGATGACACACCCTCCACTGTCCCTGTTCCAGGCATCACTCACTTCCCTGTTAGGAAACCATGAACAGATGAGCTCGGCCGGCGTGGCTCGTGGTTGAGCATCGACCTATGAAGCAGGAGGTCACAGTTCGATTCCCATGAATCCGGGGCACAGGCCCGGGCTGGGGGCTCAACCCCCAGTGGGGAGCGTGCAGGAGGCAGCCGATCCATGATTCTCTCTCATCATTGATGTTTCTATCTCCCTCTCCCTTCCTCCCTGAAATCAATAAAAATATATACTAGTTGTTTTTTTTTTAAGAAAGAAGATAGGATTAAAACAGAAAAATACTGGAGGTTAAACATAGCTGACAGCCCCTCCCCAGGCAAGAGCTGGACCCTGGCTTGAGTGGAGGCAAAGGTGAGGGGACAGGGCCCTGCTGGCCGGGCCGATGGCTCCAGAGATCTTGCAAGGAGGGACCCAGGGAGTGAACGCAGCAGCCAGGAGCAGCCTGCCTGAGGGGCCAGGCCTTGTCACCTCCTGGAGCAGTCCAGGGGCGAGTGGGCAGCCGGGACCCCTCGGGGCTGGCTCCTCGGTGCCCCAGGTACTCGGCCAGCCCCTTGCCCCCTTGGGCCTCGGTTCCTTCGGTGTGGAGGAGGGTACATGTAGACCCACGCCCAGGGTGTGGCGAGCTCTGCGCGAGGTGCAAGCCCCTGTCCATTGCTATCTCCCCTCTGTTGGCCATGAAGCTGCCGGGCTTCCTCCGGCCCCAGCAGCTTTCCGTCCCGGCCACCGTGCCAGCCGGGGACCAGCCTGCCTTTGGCCACCCCGTCTCTGCTACCTGCCCACGGGGTGACTCGGGTCTGGGGGTGGAGCAGACAGAGAGGTCCTCGCAAAGGCACTGCGACCCCGGCTGAAGCAATGAGGAGCTTTACCATCCCCCGCAGAGCCCTGGCATCCCGGAAGAAGCGTGGCACCAGGCCCCATAGCCAGCAACAGAGCGGGCACCGGGCACCGGGCTGGAGGCCTGGGCCCCGACCCACTTCCTGCTCACTCACCAACCAGCCCCTTCTTCACCCAAGGCGCTGGGCCTCCGTTACCCTGTCCTGCCTCCTCGCCACCCTCACAGCTCCCTGCTCTCATCTGCCAGCAGTGGCCCCCGCACTCCGCAACTGCTCATGGTCTAAAGGCCAAGAGAACGGGATGGCGAGCGCCGCTTCTAAAATAAGGGCATGAAGGCTGCGACCAGGTGGAGGAGCTGTTCTGTGAAGTAACAGGCAAACGTCAGCACAGTGGGACTGCGGAGGGTTCCCAGGTCAGGCCGCTGGACGAGGGCGTGTTTTCGCTTTCGCTGCTCTCCTACCTCCTTTTGGGTGCAGGGCCCTGAGTGCGAGGAGAGGGTCCCCCAACCCCACCTGCCCCCACCTGAGGCCAGGCCCTGCCCGCCAGCTCACTGGCCACTATCCCCGACGCCACCAGCTGCCCCAGCGCACAGGATGCACCCCCCCCCTCGGCCTCCTGTGGGCGGCAGTGAGCTGCCCAGTCATGCCCGGTGCCCCCGCACTCCCTGAACCTGCTCTCCCGATGACTGGCCAGGGCTTCTCTGGCTATTGGCCTCCTCATCTCAAAAGACGCGCCCAGGAGTGGTCCAGGGCACCCACCCCCTGAAGTCTCCCCTTTTAACTGGCATCTCCTGTTGGCTCATCTCGGGCCTGGTGCTCCTCTGCCACCCCTGCCCTGGCAGCGGCCTCCCTCCCGCCTCATCCTCCCCGGGAACAAGAGGCTGAGGACAGAGCTGCCCTGCCCCCACCTCCCATGGGCCCCCGGGCCGGGCCTGCTCAGCCACAGCAGGTCCCAGGGCCTTGGATGACCCAGACGGAAAGCGGGTGATGATAATAAGATCAAGGGCAACAATCTGTGTACAGACTCAGAAGAGGCTCCACAAACGAAAGGAACAATTTTATTGCCATTATAGAAAAATCAGTGGAAGAGAAAGGACTACCAAACTGTGTGTTTTTTGTTTTTGTTATAATAATTATTTTATAAAGTCTTATCAGATGCGCATTTCTTTCTCTCTCAGGGGGCAGGCGGGCCCCTTTCTGGGAGGAAGCCAGGCCAGCGGAGCGGCAGCCAGGAGACCAGCTCTGAGGACACAGGGCTCTGCCCTGGGGGGCGGGGATGGGGGGCTGTCAGGCTCCGCTGGGCGCTGAAGCTTCGGTTCCATGTGCTTGTCCATTCGCCCACCTTGCGTACAGGGCTGGGGAGACGGGCGGACACATCCACAGACGGGGTGTCGGCGCCTGGGGTCTCAGGATGGGCCCTCCGCAGGGAGGAGCAGAGAAGCTGGGCAGAGCTGGGGTCTTGGAGCTCTCGGGACTCAGGGCAGAGAGGCGGGGCTGGCCCACCCTGAGGCCAGCCCGAGGAGAATAAATAAATAAATACGTGTAACCGCGCAGCCCAGCCTGGCCTGCTCCCCACCAGGGGACGTCACTGTCCACCTCCGTTCCTCTGGCCGCCATCCTCCCTGAGAAAGTCGGGCTGGAAGGAGGGCCCGCCCCACCCTGCGAACTGAGAGCCCTGCAAAGTCTAAGGCAAAGTCTGCGGAGTTCAGGGGGCTGCGCAGCAGGTGAGTGGGCCTGGCCCGCACACAGGGTGAGCCGGGGCCTGCCGGCTCCCTCTCTTCCGCTCGCCACCAGGAGCCACATGGGAGCTGGGGGCGCGACCTCCAAGTTGTGTGACACTCCCCCCTGCTCCTCGCCCCCCAGCCTGGCTCCTGCGGGCTCTCCCAGGTCCAGCTGCCAGAAGCACATGGGCACCAGGATGACCGGAGGAGGGACAGCGAGGGCCTGAGTCCAGCGGGGCCGCTGTCCCCTCCGGAAGTTGGGGTGAGGCGAGGGCGGCCGGGCGGGTCAGAGCTGGAAGGGGTACTGGCAGAGGA